AAACTGTTTTCCAAAATTCGCAGCGGGTAGTGTACAGCATCGATTTCTGTGGAACCCAGTAGCTGTTAAAACTTTCACATTTTTACGAATAACTCTAATGTGGACCTTTTAAACGTGAAAAACTTTCGTTAGACGAATTTTCTTGTAAACTTCATATTTACTGAGATATCGCACTTTGACGCACTAATGAGTAACCCTGTATATTGTAAAATAGAGGTGATAGTGGGGACCCTTGCGGGCGGCCTTCTTCAGGGGTGAAAGCAAAGGAAAGGGTGTTGTTTATGCTTATTTCTAGTTGTCTGTGAATAGATTTCTGATTGCGTGAATTATGTATTTGGGGGTGTTAAGCTGGTGAAGTTTTAATAAGAGTTGTAACGGTTAAAAATGGAATTTAGCTAGTGGTCCACCTGTCTGCTAACCCGTTGTTCTCAAATGTAGTTGTAAGTTATAATGGTAAGAAAGCAGGTTTCAATGGTAAAGCTGTACAAATTTTGACATAGTGTGTAAACCTTCTCATGCAGAGGAATTACGTAACTCTATCGTAAACCAATGGACGAAAGACTAATTTACTCATATTACGTACGTCTTCAAAAAATTATTATGCTTTTCAGTACTATTAAAAATTCGATTTAAATTGATTAAAGTTTTAAAGAAATAATCGATGAGAAAAGAATTATTGTATTTATACAAATATATTAAAAACGTGATCTACATTTAGGAAGCGCTTGTAAAAAATGCAAAACCATACAATAAACCTGAAGTACTCTTCAATAGCTGATTTCAGATTATATCCACTTGTGATAATGTATTTTCCAATTTTTGTGTCAATAATAACACATTTTTTACATTGTTTATAAGTGATGTGCCGATATGAATAGTACTATCATATTTGTTCTTGGTTATTTTTATATCATTTCAAATCTATTATACTTGATGATTGAATGATTAATTTTAATTAGAAATGAACGAAAGTCCAGTGGAAATTTTCGAAACAGCAACACGAAGTTTCAGTCGTAAATACGAAGAAACTATAAGCACTGTCCCAAATGTAGCATCTGATCACCAGCGTACAATATTTGAGTACGTCTTCTACGAGTAAACAACTTGATGCATGATGCATGATGCGCCACCAACCCATCTCAGCCTGGCAGTTCAAGAACAGCTAAACACGCAATTCGGACAACATTGGATAGGAGGATTCAGATCCGTAGCTTGGCCTCCTCAATCTCCAAAGTTCAACCCTTCAGATTTGGTTTTTGGGGATATTTAAAAACTTTAGTGTATGCCAATCCTGTCGACACTTAATTATTTTTTAATTTTAATTAATTTTCATTCAATAAGCATTGTGGAGAACGCAACATTCTACAATTTTTCAAGATAGGGAGTGCATAAGGTTAGAAGGAGCTCATGTTGAACCTCCATACAAAATTGTCCACTAAATCCAAATACAATGAAAATGGTTTTTCCTCGAGAACTGTTCTGTTTATCAATATGAATATGAATCATATCGAGTGTCATATGAGTGTATTTTTTTAGTTTAAGGTTAAAGCTACCCAAATACATTATTTTCGAGTCTTTATTGTATAGGGTAAAAAAATAACTTTTATTGTGCTCTACCTATCCCATCTCTGGCAAATGAAAATGCTAAAAATGGTTACATGGATTCTTTTTAAGAGCAATGATGTACTGTTCATAGCATGAAAAAATAAATAAATTGCCTGAAGTATTTTAAAACATATTTTTAAAAACCGATTTACAGATATCTCTGTAGGGGGGCCCTCTGGACTTTTTTAAAATAGAAACTTGTTATATTTTTTAACGTCCCCCTCTACAAATACGAGAGCATGACTACATATTCCGGGTCACCTTGTATAATGATTTGCAGTTGCAGTTAGTGTTGGGGGTATGAAATACATACTTTAAAAGGCGTGACAATTTTTGTCTTTGCGTATAATCGTTTTATATAACCACTTCAGGTAAATATTTTTGGTAGAGTATACTTTCACATTTTTGTGTTAATATTGCTGTAAAAGTATTCCTCTACCAAATTTATCTTCATAAATATCCCCACAGCGAAGGTTTTTAAGCAATTTTCTCTATTCAATTTCAACAACAATATTTAAGACAAAAATGTTAAAAGTTGTCTCACCGAAATATCCACCTCTCATATTATAACTTTTGATCACACTTGGATTTGTATATTTCGAAAAAAGTTACAGAAATTATGGTTTGACGAATGACTAAAGAATGTTCGCATTTAGAAGCATGATATTTGGGCTAAGAGAGATAACGATAACTTTACGTGATTACTTTACTACTAAATCTTTACATTCCTTCTAACTACACTCACATTCAAAAGTCGTGCACCCCGCGCCCCTGAATTTACATAATACATTTATATTATATAAAATTGTTTTATTGGTACATAAAACGTATTTGTTTACAAGTAAAATAAAAGATGAAATTTCCAAACAAAAGTTGTTTACCCCTTTAAAACTGTGTTGCTGCAAAAACTGCACCTTTATATTGGTCACTAGTAGCCCGCATTCGTATCTAAAAAATGCAAGAATCGTGTAGCATGCCTGGAAGCGAGTTGTCAGCTTTTGATAGGACTAGAATTATTGCTCTGTGGCAAGGAGATTTATTGAGACACCACATGTCCAAGAAGTTGAAGTTTCTTAGCAGCACAGTTAGCGGAACAATTAGACGCTATGAAAAGACTGACCTCTCGGTAGACCTCGACGTGGTCGTCCTCGCGATACGACGATACGAGAACATCGCTTATTTCTCAATCAGCCCGTCGAGCAGTAGCTGCGCTAGGGGTCGGCGAGGTTTTAGTAGCGATAAAACCACTTTTAATAGAGATGTAAATAATTGCGAATTAGAAAAATCAGATCAAATTTGACAATAATGATAGTGAACGTGAAAACATTCCGAGTTGTTCGGGAATTGAAAAGTAAGTTTTTAAGTACTTAATATTAATACATTATTTTCTAATCTAAATATGGGTACTTGTTTCCTGCTGGGACAAAAGCTAAAGATTTTCATTTAGGGGAAAAAGAAGTACTTGATTTGGCTCTATATCTACATGAACTTTCAAAACAGGCGGTGTAAGCAAGTTTTCCTAAAAAACAGTATACTAGAATCATCAGTATATTCCTGATGTTTCTAGCATCACAAAATTCCAAGAAGAACTACGTATCTTGCGGCTACCTGCAGAGCCCACCTACAAAACTGCCTACAAAAACCAAATCAGAATCAACACTGACTCAATCAATTCTTTTAATAAAGATTCGCTAGAGCGATAATTAAATTTCTTAATAACAAAAATGCATAATTTCATAGACACATCTAAAACAAGATCGCGCTTTCCGAGTTATCATTCGCAACATGCAACGACAACGCCAGTCAAATATATCAAAACTGGATTAGAGGAACTAGAGCAACCAAATCACTTAAGCAGCCTAAGACCCATTCGTGATCTATAAGAACTACGAATGGATGGACCAGAAGCGACCAGTGTTTCTATTCTTGACTTTGAGAGAAGGGAGTATCCCCGGGAGCATCACAGGAAGTCGCTCCTCGCTCACGATCCCTAGCGTATAAAAATAGTATTCTTGAATGATAAGGAATGCCAGTGAACACGCAGTCCCTGCAAGCACTGTTGCCAGCTTATCTGACCAATCAAAATTGCGAAAATATTGACGGTCTGACATGCTCGCCAACGTCATTTATTTACTATTGTGGCGGAACTCGTACCAACTTTTTGTTTTAAAAGAGACAGACATTTAAGAATCATGTATTTGTCTTTATCTAAGCTAAGAAACGGTCGTTTATTCCCTCGTTTTCTGCTGGTACGTCTTTATTTCCAAACCGTTTATAGATACTTATTAAAAAACAGTTTTTGTTTTTTTAAGCATGGTTCATTGCTTCTGTGCCCTATTGAGGTAAGGTAATGTACTAGTAAAATGAATACAGTTTTATGAAGAAAGTAACAGGGTAATTTCATTTATGTAGCCGCTTTCCTTCAGCACTTTATAATGAATCGTAAAATGAGTCTGTGTTCCTTAAAGAGACTGAAGTAAATGTACCTTTTAGGAAAAATGGAATAGCACAATAGCCATTGCAAATTGTGACAAATCAAGGCTGCTATCGCTCAAGCAAAAGGAATCGCTGATAGAATTTGTCCACAGCAGGTCCCAAATGACAAGGCTTATTCTCGTGTAGAATCCTTAACGAATGTATATTTAATGAACAATAAAACACCATCTCCACCAACAATGTACAAA